AAGCAGAGCCTGTCGTCTGCACCCAGGGTGCAGAGGGCCCTCTTGCCATAAAACATGCATGGTTCCTATTGCTCCAAATGGGTAGGATTTGGGGCTTGATGCACATTGTCATACAGGGGATTTGGGGGTGGTGCAGGATTAGACCAAGGGGTGAAGACCAGAAGGCCTTCCACTTTGAAGATCCTCTACTCCTTCCGCCAGAGAGGGACTATTAGGCAATGGAAACTATCCGAGCCATTAGACTGGAGTAGTCATCATGTGATGGCTATGCTGGCTGCTCCATGGCCTGTTTCTTCCTATGAAGTTCCAAGCATCCAACCCAGTTTTGGGCTGAGCAATAGGGACTAGTTTAAGAGCTAAGTAAAATGTGGGGTGGGATGATCCTGCCTGCTCCAGCCTGTGAATGGCAGGCCAGGTGTAGTAATAGGTAAATTTCTCAATAAATGCTTCCTGATCATTAATTAATTTTGGAGTTCCGTGTTTCAAACTGTATCTGAAATCTTTGATCAAGAAAAATGGGTTGGAAGAGATGTACAATCTAGTAACCTGAATACAGACTAGAAGCCAAGGAATTCCTGAGTTCTAGTTCCAACTCGGAAACTGATTCCCTCTGTGTCTTAGGTCAAGTCACTTAAATCCTTTGCCCTGATTGCTCCATCCATTAAATGGGAGAAGAAGGCTAACCCTGTTTTACTAAGAGCTTAGTTAATGTCTGTAAAGAACTTTGAAGATGAAAGGCGCTATATAAGTCTTCAACATTATATATATATTTATATTGTTGTTTTGTTTATAGAAAAACATAATTTTAAAAATTATCATTACAGCACATTGAATAATTTAATTTTTCACATTCCTTATGTATTGAGTTATTATGTGTTACATCGAATGAATACAAAGACCTCAGAATATGATGTGATACAGAAGACACACCACATACTTTGTAAGAGATTTTCTAAATAGAGCGGTTATAAAAATCAAACATTGTAAAGAGCTGTCCAGCTGGAGAAGAGGAGTTCAGTCATTTCATAAATCTGACTGATACTTCACAAAAACCTTCTTGGGGGCCCTGACCTGAAATGCTGGCCGGGAGGGGATGTGAGGGGACTAGTACTTTTTACAATCCCTTGTTATTAACCAGACAAATGGTGGTAACCACATGTGCCCCAATATTAGTTAGTACCAGTGGCTCACACACAGATTGCTGACAGCTACAGTACCCATATACTGAGCACTGGAATGTATTCTCTGGTAACATCTGGGTATGTAATATGCTTCCTAGCTGGCTTCTTACGGCCCCTTGGCTGGCTGCATTGCTGGATGTTCCAGAAGTTGTGGGGCTGATTTGGAGTCATGGTCATGATGGGCTCTTTTGTCTTCTTAAATTACTCTGACTCCCAGACTCTGGGAATAATTTGTACATTTTTGTAAATTATAAAATTCTTCATTGGTTGATAAGGAAAGCTTTCCTGTGTCCTGGTTGACTGGTGTGGAAAGGAGCATGCGAGCTTTAAAACTACCAACATTCAGGGTGTCCCTCCCACCACATTTCTGGTCCCCGACTAGATTCCCATTCATCCTTTCCCCTGATCTGCCCCTCATAGTCCTGCTGGGTTTTTTGGTTTGGATTGGTTTTTGTTTGGGGGGTGGAAACGGTTCGGGGAGGGAGGGGGATAGTTCTTGTAAATTATAGGTTGCTGCAGTTATATCACACCAAAACCATGTTTTATTTCTTGCAAGGTACAGTAGCTGAAGTTACATAGCTATTGTACCATGCAAGAAAAAACATGGATTTGATATACTCTCTTCTTCAGTAGTCTTTGAAGAACAGGCTACTTGGAAAGCAGTTCTGTTGTCATTAGAACAGATTTAATGTAACAGCAAGCAGTCTGCATTTGTAGCATAACTTGGTCATCCATTAACAATTGTATGTTATTATTAAGTTTGAATAACTGATTCAGTCAAATTGATACAGTTTGATAACTGGATGATCCACCTGATATTAAAGTGCTGATTGATCATATGTTGTTTCCATTTAAACTTTGTTGTTTGCAGTTTTGACACACAGCATAAACAGCTGTGTAATTTGTCTATAAATGTACTAAGTAACCAAAATGAATTACCATGCAGATCCAGTTTTTAGATTTTACATTTGCTGTCTAGTTAAGACATAACCACACTAAATAGTGAATAATTAAATATAAGTAGATGGTTAGTGTTTGTTTATCTGTGTCTGTAAAATGAAATGATCCCAACCAATCTCACCCAAACTAATCATGCAGCTAAAAAAAATCATGTTTTTTATCCAGTGTTTCCTAAAATGTGAGGGCAAGAAGGACATCAACAAACAGGGCTCTTGATTGCTATCTATAGTCTCAGCATGCTTGCTTCCTTTCTTTCTTTTTCTTTCTTTCAATAAATTTCTAGCTGTTATGGTTGTGAAGAAAATCTTCAAAATGTGAAGCAGGTATAACCAATGTAGCAATGTCGACCTGAGTTTCCAGAGAGCTTGAAACAATAGCTTTGAGAAGAGAATGGCATAAATTTTATTGGGCTCTAACTTGGATGCTAGTGATGATACTTTAACTCTTTCACCACTCATTAAAACATGGAAAAAATTAGAGGAAGTATCATATTATGAAAATCTATACCAATGTTTCCAAAAGGCAAGGAGAGGTGGCATAAAAGACTAGCCAGGGATGGTGCAGAACATGTATATATTAAAATGTTTAGGTTGTTAACAACACGTGGCAAAGTTGTAGCAGGGATACAAATGGTCTTATTTTCTTGAATGGCATATTAGCTTTAAAAGGAAACACTACATTAAACTATGTGAAATTGAAACTTTGGTTGGAAAATGATAACGCAAGCCTCAAAATCCTCAATATATTTTTGCTTTGTGTCAGTCTCAATATGTTTTAGTGTGTTTCCTTCATCTGAAGGAAAAATGTGCCATGTTTAAGTGGACTCAAGAGACTTCATAAAAAACTTCAGTCTCACTTTTATTTTTGTCCCATCCAAGATGCAAATTGCACACAGTTAAGGCTCTAGAGGTACAACTGCATCAAACCTGTTTGCCAGATATCCAGATCTTGTAAACAAGTCCTGTAGGCTAATGTACCAAAAAAATGTGAACCGAGGACTCCATTTCCTCATTAGACTTTCTCCAATCCAGAGCATATCCTGTGAGGGATGCTTTTAATAATTATTAATACTTCGTCTGGGTCTCTCATTACTGTGTTGTCTATGTCAGATATGGGGGTGGATATTTCACCCTGGTGGGCTGACTGAGAAGCAGAGCCTACCTACCTAGGGGTGAAAAGTGGAGGCTCTTTCTCAAAAAGTAGAGTAATTATCTGGAAAAAAGTTACTTTTGTCCCTGAATAGGATGTCCACGGAGGGAGCTATTCTGGAATACCTTAAAAACATAAGAAAGGCCATACTAGGTCGGACCAATGGTGCATATAGCCCAGTATCCTGTCTTCCAACAGTGGCCGGTGCCAGATGCCTCAGAGTGAATGAACAGGACAGTTCTCGAGTGATCCATCCCCTATCACCCAGCCCCAGCTCTGGCAGTCAGAGGTTTAGGGGCATCCAGAGCATGGGGTTGCATCCCTGACCATATTGGCTAATATCCTATCCTCCATGAATTAGCTAATTTTTTTTGGACCCAGTCACACTTTTGGCCTTCCCAACATCTCCTGACAATGAGTTCCATAGGTTGACTGTGTGTTGTGTGAAGAAGTACTTCCTGTTTGTTTGTTTGAAACCTGCTCCCTATTAATTTCATTGACTGACCCCTGGTTCTTGTGAAGGGATAAATAACACTTCCCTATTCACTTTCTCCGCACCTCAAGGTTGCAGCTGCTGCCTATGCTCTGTTTGTTCTGAGGGTTGCAGCCTCCAGGACTGTCAATATTATCCATGCATAATTTTCTGTTTTTAAAAAAAAGCTGTAATTGCCACCTCATTAGGGTTCAGACCTCCAAAGAGCGGTATTTTGACCATTGTAGACCCAGTGCTTTTTAATCCTCCTGCTCCTTTTTAAATGCATGCTCAGAAGATCTTCTTGAAGCAGTATCTGTTAAAGATACAGGCCTGATTATGAAATGGAGCCTGTGTTGTAAACATAATATTAAAGTATGTGACTGACCCCAGCTACTGTGGCAGTTGGAGTACATTGCTCTGAGCCTTCCTTCAGGACACTCCTGACTGGCCCTAGCCTGAGAGACAGGGCACTAGCAGTAGACAGAGGAAAGTAGTTTGTACTAAACTCTCCTTTTATTTAGACAAGCTATTTGTTTGTGACAGAACTTGCTTTCTGGAGCAGGTTCTCCAAACCCTCCGAAATCTGTCACTGGGCTTGACTTACCACAGGCAGTATGTTCTAGGGTCAGGTGTTCAGGAGTTAGAGAGTAACCCACAAACCTCCTCCAACCTGAGAGGTGAAGGCAGAGGATATCGGATTGCAGGAGGAGGGGGGAGTAATCTTTCCAGCTGGAGAGGATAAAGTTTGATCTCCTCCACACTGAAGGATGGGAACAAAGGGAGCTTTCTGCTGGAGCAGGATTTCAAAGGCCCGCTGAGTGACTGCGCTGAGGAATACTTTGTTGTAGATCACTGGGGATATTGGCAGATGCCCTTCGGGAGCTTTGTGTGCTGTTCTCACAGTTCCAGTGCCCAGCAGCCTGAAGCACCTTTAACAAAGCAGGAACATGGTGTAAGACAGAGGTGGGAAATGTGAGCGTTTCAGACAAGCCAGGAGGCTGAGGCTGTCTTTGGAAGAGGCTGCTAGAGCCCAGACCAGCCTGCCTGGGCAGGGCAGGGCAGGGGCCGCCACTGGGGTTACTTACGAAGTACGTGGGGTGTGTTGTTGGCACATGGAGTCTCGCTCCATGGAAATGCCTGCCCCCAATGCACTGTTTGAAGCTAACTCACTGCTAGTGTGTCTGATCTCTGGGTGTGCTACAGGACGTTGCCCCACCTCTCCTCTCTTTCCACAGCTCGCCTTGGGTCACGGTTCTCTCTGCTCACTGGGGAAGACGTGTGAATGCGCACTACTCCCACAGCTCCACTCTTCTGCTGGGCCGGGAGATCGCCTCCTGCAGGGCTCGCTTTGCTGCTGCTCTTTGTGGTCTCTACACCAGGCGGCAGCCATCCAAGAGGGAGAGAAATACACACACACTGGGACAAGTTACAGCTGCCGTCTCCCAGCTGGCTCTGGCCTTAGCCCTCGCTGCTTTAAAACTCCGTCCCTGCTATTACAGCCTAGTCGTTATGCCGTGGAATTTGGGTTTACGTAGAAGTGTCATGTTTCATCTGCGTATATACCGCCGCGTACGTTTTAGCTGTGTAACCCAGATAGTAACTGCTTGAATTGACCCTCTTCTACCCCCACATTGGGTGGGTTTGGGTTTTTTTGTGGTTGTGGAATCCTATTCCATTCTGCCTCTTTTAAGGGCTGGTTCGTGTCTTGGTCCTGATCTTTGATGTCTCTTTATTTTACATTAGCAAGTAGCAGCCTCCCACTGCTCATGAAAATAGTGCTTTGGGTAACTGACTTGGCATTTGGCCTTGATACCTGTATCTCCTGATAACTGAAACAAATTTCTAAAATAAATATTGTACTTTGATCTTCCAGTCCTGCATTTTTAATGACAGCTCTGAGCATCACTTCATTAAGAATACATTTCAGGAGACCGAAATGCTCCGAGTTTGAACACTAATTATGTGTACAGAAAATTACTGCTGCAACATTTCATTATTCTGCCCATTGTTTGTTCCGGAAACTAGAAATTCCCCCTCAATTTTTTAAGTCAATTGCTTCCATCCATGCGGAGTTTATGGGATCCCAGGTATGGATTCCATATAGGAACTTAATCCAACTTTCTACTAACTGTTTTGCAATGTAACAAATCATTCTGCATATTCAAAATACGTGGAGGAATAATTTATATGAAGGGGAAAGGGAAACACCAGCGCGTTCAGTTGTTTTAAAAATTGTACCTTTGACTTCCATTTCGTTTCTGAATTTTATTATTCAAATAATTCCTTAATCAAAGATACAATTCACGCGTGAAAAAGATCTCGCTAGAAATCAGATCAAACTTTTTGTAAAAGTTTAAGAACGGGGAAAGTGACATATTCTGACGTGGGTGGTTCGCTTATTACATCTCCAGGAAAGAGACGTGTCATCAGAATGGGCAGGAATGAGGATCCTATCCATTGTGTGTTGTGTCCCGGCAACTCGAACCTCTTGTTCTGCCCCGAGTGTTGCTTCTGGAGTAAAACCGGATGGGTGCGCGTTTCTGTCCCTTGCCTAAACAAAACGGCAAGTAGGCTGCGTCCAAAGAGCCCCGGGCACTACACGTGTGTGTGTTCAAGTCACCCGGGAAAAGTCCGCAAAGGACCAGCGGACGGCTGCGGAGATTTCTAAGTGGCCCAGAGTGAGCGCCTTGCCCCTGCTCCCCGGCGATTCGATGCCTCTGTTGTTGGAGCGCTGGAGCTGCTGCATTCACTCGCATGTTTTCAATCAGCTGTAAACATTTCCCAATTCTCTGGGAGGAGAGATCACACGCAAGGCACGGCCAGCGTTTGGTTTTAAGTTTGGCTGGGAACTCCTGTGTCCCACTCCGGCGCTCTCCGATTGTCTGTCATAGGCGTTACAATCCTACCCAGGGGTCCTGGAGACCAGTAATTACCAGCTCCTCCTCGCCCTCTGCTATCAGGTGAGGACAACAAGAAATGACCGCCCCAAAACCATACTCTACATTGCAAACAGACCCAGATATCAGCTTCCCCGAATAATTCACCAAGTTTTGGAGGCGTCTTTATCTCTAGGTTATACATGGCAGAGAAGTCTTGAACATTAGCAATGGGGCTGAATCGATTTAAAGCTTGGGTGTGTTGTACTCATTTCCATAGTGTCGATCTGATGAAGCATTTACAAGTCCCAGGGAAGAGCCTCAAGTGACTCATGCATTAGGGGGTCAGTGTTGGGGGGGGGGAGCAGCGGGAGCCCAAACTTCTCCCCAGGACTCAATATGGAGCCGTGGGAGAGGACTTGGCACTTTAATCCCTTCAAAGAAACCGATCTGATTCAAGCCCCACCACTCTTGGAAGTCGTTGAGAGGCCAGTGATTGTTTCTACAGGAAAGCCAGATAAAGATCTCTGTGTGCTGGCGTTTAAAAAGGCTTCCTTGGCAACGTGAATACAATTGACCCCGACGGCTACTGGGAGGCTCGAGTTACCTGGGGGAACAGTTCCAGAAATGTGAGCGAAAGGAGGGGCAGGGCACTCCCTGCTCTCACGTTTGGCCAAGATATTCACGAACGTCCTGGTCCGTCACGTGTCCGGATCGATCCGGCCGCCGTAGCTAGCGGGGAGGAGATGGAAGCAGAGGGGGCTGTGACCCGACGGGAGAGCGCGCGGCGCGGCGCTCGGCTGCACCGCTCCCCGCCGCAGGCGCGCACCCTGGGGCGGGCGGCGGGGTGCCGCTGGGAGCCGAACGCCGGGCCGGGGGAGGCTGGGAAGCCCCTGGCGCGGCTGCCGCGGAAAGTTTTCTCGCCCACGTGGGCCAAAGCCCGTTCGGTTTTAAAACACGGCCGGAGCCCCAGAGCTGGGAGGAAGCGATTCAGTGGAGCTGCGGCCAACGGCAGGAGGGCAACAAGCGGCTTCGGCGGAGATCGGAGTAATAGTTCCCCGGTGTGGCCACCCGTGCTACGGTTCCGACAGTTTGAACTGGGAGGCGTTTGACACACAAACCGTTCAGTTTAACACACAAACGCTACCGAGAGAGACGTTCACCTTCACTTAAAAAAAAAAAAGTCACGTCTTTTGCACACCTTTATATCGCCCTCCTCCCCCCGGGGAAAGGACACTTTCTCTGTGATTTTCGCAGTCTTTAACTTTTAATGCTGATTGCACGTGACCAAAGAACCCCTCATTGTAACTCCGCTACATCGACCCCTGGCTTGAGCCCAGCGCCTCCGTAATTACAGAAAATACAGAGAGCACAGAGAGCTCTTCCTGCAAGCAGCACCAGAGCGGGGGAAATGTGCGTTAGCTAAGCCATCTCGATGGAGTTCGCTTTTCTCAGCTTCAGGAGAGAGAGGAAAAAACCGTCGGGAAGTTTTGCAGCTGGGATCTCCCAGCTCGGCTCAGGTGAACTTGCTGTGTTTGTATTGTTACTTTGAGTCATCAAACTCTACCAGCGGAATCCGCAGGCAGATTTCTCTGGGGATAACAAAGACACATTGTCACTTTAGGGCTCTGCTACAAATCCTTAATTGCACACACACACAAAAAGGCAACAAGGGGTGGGGAGATCCAGTGTCTTGAGCATCCAATGCGTGGGTCTCCAGGCGGTCTCCTTTGATCAAGAAAATCCAATTATTTGTGTATATACATTTCCCACATAGTGATTACTTCATTAATTGTCCCGCCTTTATCTCCTCCTTTCCCATCCCCCCTAATAATCAGTTCTTTTATCCAGACCAACAAACACACCATAGGAGCTTTGTGGATTCAAAGGATTTGCTTTCGCTTCTGAAAGAGCCGCTATTCTTTGATGATTGGGTAGCGGCAAACTTCAAAGCCATAAATCTTCCCTCTGACTGGCTGGCGGCCCAGCAAAGTCCTTATCAAATTCTTGGAGGTGATCCTGGTGCAGTCAGACAGTCCGCGCAGATCGCGCAGCGCGGGGGGGGTGGGCCGGACGCAGAGCACAGAGATCAGAGGGAAGGAGAGAGAAGGAAGCTGGGCAGCTCCTCGTCTTCCCCGTGGCGTCTCCATGCCTCGGCACTGCCCCGGTGTCCTCCCCTCGCTCCGGGAGCAGTAACTATGGCCGCAGTGGCTGTCCTCCGGAACGACTCCCTGCAGGCTTTCCTCCAGGTCAGTACCGGCGCCTCCCAAGGAGAGCCCAGCTGGGGGGGGGCGGCTGGCGGCTCGCTGTGTGTCTCACACTCTGACAAAGAGGAACATAAGTTTGAAGTTATGGGGGAGACAACGCTCCAAGTAACGCTAAAGCAGGGGGCAGCCAGGCTACTTTGCTCTGGGGATTGCGAAGGCAGTGTCAGCCCGTAACCGTAAGAGGCTTGCTGCAGCTGAAAGGACAGCTCTCAAGGTAAACTAAAGAAATCTCCTTGGATTAATAACTCCCCACTCCGTTTAGAGTCCGGCTGGTCACTAGATGAGTAAGATCTTTGGGGGGCTCAAACCATTCGCCTGCCACGGGCACTGTAAACAGTCACTCCTGGGCTACGGAGCAGCGTCGGGGGGTTGAGTGCTGGGCATTCACTTCTGCATGCGGGATCTAGCGTTACTTGAAAGAACACACAGCACAGAGCAGGCGTGTGTTTAGAGAGCGGGAGAGACGCTAGTTGTGGCCTGTCCTGCTGCTGACTCAGGCTTCTCTTTACAGACAGCTCAGTATTGTCTGGGGAAAGTTTCTGCCCATGTGATGACCGATTAGAGCTCTCCGGTTCCCTGGAGAACACACACAGAAACTTTCCTGTTCCTTGAGCTGCAGCGTCTGCTGGTGGGTGCAAAGGGGAGACGATCGCGGGGTAGGCAGCAACAACAAATGCTCTGGGAGCGGTTAGTGACCTGATCTTTTTCCTCCCTCGCCCACATGCAGGATCGCACCCCCAGCGCCTCTCCAGACTTGGCGAAGCACTCGCCCCTGGCGCTCTTGGCCGCCACCTGTAGCCGGATCGGACAGCCGGGCGCCGCCCCTTCGGATTTCCTGCAGGTCTCCTACGACCCAGCTCTGGGATCCCCATCCAGGATCTTCCACCCGTGGAGTAGCGAGATGCCAGCCCATTCCCCCGGGGGGCTCCCCCCTCCGCATCCCAGCCTGGGGCTCACCCCCCAGAAGAGCCACCTGCAGCCTTCCTTCGGGGGCGCTCACGAGCTGCCCCTCACCCCCCCGGCTGACCCCTCCTACGCCTATGAGTTCTCCCCAGTCAAGATGCTCCCTTCCTCCATGGCCGCCTTACCCTCCAGCTGCCCCCCGGCCTACGTCCCCTACGCCGCCCAGGCCGCCCTGCCTCCCGGCTACTCCAACCTGCTGCCCCCGCCGCAGCCCTGCAGGCAGCTCTCCCCCAACCCGGCCCCCGAGGACATCCCCTGGTGGAGCCTCCAGCAAGCGGGGGCGCCGGGCGGCTGCGGCCACCGCTTCCCTGGCGCCGCCCTGCCGAGGAGCCTGGTGCTGGGCCCCTCGGACCTGGCCCAGTACCAGACGCAGATCGCCGCCCTGCTGCAGACCAAGCCACCCCTGGCGGCCACGGCCCGGCGCTGCCGCCGCTGCCGCTGCCCCAACTGCCAGGCGGCGGCGGGCAGCGCCCCGGAGGCGGAGCCGGGCCGGAAGAAGCAGCACATCTGCCACATCCCGGGCTGCGGCAAGGTCTACGGCAAGACCTCGCACCTGAAGGCGCATCTGCGCTGGCACACGGGCGAGCGGCCCTTCGTCTGCAACTGGCTCTTCTGCGGCAAGAGCTTCACGCGCTCCGACGAGCTGCAGCGGCACCTGCGGACTCACACGGGCGAGAAGCGCTTCGCCTGCCCCGTCTGCAACAAGCGCTTCATGCGCAGCGACCACCTGGCCAAGCACGTGAAGACCCACCAGAACAAGAAGCTCAAAGCCGCGGGCGACGGCGTGAAGCGGGAGGACACGCGGGGCCTGTGACCCGGGCCCGCCGCCCGGCCGGAGAAATTCGGGACCCACCGCCCCGCCTGAGGGGCCCCCGCAGCCGGAGCCCTGGCCCGGGGGGACCTGCAGCCCTGGGAGGGGCAGGAGCTGCGCCTGCGTCCGCGGCCCTGGAGCCCTGGCCGGGGAGAGCTCTGGGCTTTGCCGCCTTCTCCCGGGAGGCGCTCTAGCCCTGCGAGGGCGATCGAGGACCCGTGCCCGGCCCAGGAGGGCCTAAGGTCTTCGGCCCCGGCGCTCTGGGAACTGGAGCCCTGCCCTGGAGATTTACAGGCCCCCCCGGCGGCACTGCCCTATACCGCCCCGTTGTCCTGAAGAAGCCCTTGGACAAGTCCCCTTCTCTGGCCCCAGGGCAAAGATGCGGGAAATACGTGACTCCTTTACGCCTTGCTACTGGCATCAGGATCTTTGTCGCTGCTGCTCAATGGGGTGAAGTGCCAGCTGTTTCCAGCCCACTGTCCCGCTCCCGTCCAGGGAGAGCTCTGGACGCAGGCTGGGCCATAGGATCACTCCCCCAGTTTGGAAACGGAGTTACTTACAAGGGGCTGCTCCAAGACAGTAAATAGGAGCAGCAGCGTTAGTCTGGGGACCTGGCTCTTGCGTCCTCATTTCTTTCAGGGGAAGAGACTGAACTTTTGTGTACAGGTTATTTAATAGCTTTGTTTGAATAAAAGTGTTTTTCTTGTCCTTGGCTCCACGCGGGGCTCCAGCATGAGATGTTTCTGTAAAGCGACCTGCAACTGCAGCGTGAAAATAAATACATTAACACTGGGGTCACATTAGGAAGATCCCACTGAGTCGGTTTCATTTGATCTTTTCTTCCTTCTGGAGGCTTTACAAAACGCCGCAGTTTGAAGAACTATTTTATCGTTTATTTAGTCTGAACAAATGCATCGACAACATTTATTTGGTAAACACCCAACTGTTGCAATAGCTTAAGCCACAATCTGTTCCCCACATTTCATGCTCTCAGATATCTTTGCCAAGACAAGACAAAGTTTTCATAGTATTCCTTATGGAATGCATTGCGATCTACAGGGATAATCTAACTTTATAAGACTAACTTCCGCTGAGTGCACTTTACCTATAATACGGATGTTAGTCCAAACTTCAGCAATGTTTAACATTAAACTTTTACAACAGAGTGCGAATTGTTTTAGGAATAACAATTGCAAACTTTGTAAATGGTCTAAAATGTGGGGTCCTTTGGGCTGATGCTGTGTTCACTAGTTCTGGTAAAGCCAAGCCATAGGCATAAAGGGGGAACAAAAGATGAAAAAAATAATTAAATCTTCACAGACTAGATGGTACAAACTGTATTCTGAATCCAAGGAAAGGTGGGAATAGTCAGAGTTAATACACACTTCTTATATAAAAAGAAATGCATGACAGCATGATATTGTGCGTCAGCTTTAACGAGCCATTTCCTGCCTTTTGTTGGGCTATGTCACAGCACGATTAAAAATACTATTCATATTTTAATTTTCCTTTTGTTTAACCATTGCAGTATTTTGGGCGTAGGGTATATACAATGCTCCCTCTCGTCCAAGAGGCCAAAATTACTATCAAGTAACTGTTGAGTAAGTCAGCATCTAGTGATTTTTTTACACACACTTATGTACTTGAAATATGATATTTACCAAAAAACTAATACAGCTCCCTTTGAGGCATTATCAGTCATGTATGTATATATTTAGGCACTGTATACTGTTGCCAAATGTCTTTTAAAAGTAATTACTGTATTTTACATTAGGCAATTTGCTAATAAAAAAATTAAAGTAATTATAAAAAAAATCAAACCAACCAGGATCTTTGACTAATCACTTGCAAAATGTCACTTTTAAAAATAGGGGCTAATATATTAACAATTCTCTATGGGATAGAAACATAAAACTCCATTAATTATCAATAAAAAAGTCAAAGGTTCTTTTAACAAATTGGTCAAAACTTGTTTTTAGGTTGAATATTACATGTGAAATTTCAGGCTCAAATAGACCTGTGAAGTGGGTACTGTAATAGAAGTTCTGGGACAGGCTTAATTATAAATACAGATATTGCTTGCCAGACAGCTTTTAATCAAGTGTTGGAGTTAGCAGTTTTAAAAATATTTAGAATGTTTAATGATGGTAAATGTAAAATTATTGGTGTTATATATTTTTTTAAGATTTTATCTCTCTATGAAAAGAGCCCAATTCAAAAGTGCTCCAGTGAACCTTAACATCTGAAACACTTAGGAGTTCCTGTCTAATTTGTAATTCTCCAAAATTGCATATTACATCTATAGGAGAATATATTCATTTGTATGATCCTAAAATAATTTCTGCAGCAATAATTTCAGGGTCAAAGTATTAAATGAATGTGATATAATGAGCTATTAAAGATTCTTGCATATCTATTCTATAATATCTTATATGACAGAAATAGTTTAATTTTAATGAATTAGTGACATTCCATTGCTAAATATACATTTAGATATAACTTTAGGCTGCTGATACTACTTAATGACATATTATTTATATTAAAAAAAGAAAAGGAGTACTTGTGGCACCTTAGAGACTAACCAATTTATTTGAGCATGAGCTTTCGTGAGCCACAGCTCACAGACTAACACAGACTAACACGGCTGTTCCTCTGAAACCTGTTATTATTTATATTGTAAAGAAGAAAGCAACAATAACAGGGAAAATGATAGGCATACAGAGGGTCCAGATCCATAGGTCCTCACTCAGGCAACACTTTCACTGAGCCAAGAACAGGCCCTGAATATGTTAACTATGTAATGATTTTCAATGTTAAAATATTTTCTGGTGTAAAATGGCTTCTTCTCAACCTTCCTTTCTTTGGGATTAAGTCACATTAAGTGGTTAGTACAATTAACTCGACAAGATATAGAGAGCTTCAAATTTAGCACTGGTTTAAATAGGAACTTGTTTCACAAAACAGGGAAATGACCAATTTTTAAAAAATCATTCAATTCCATGTACATTTCAATTCTATTCAATTCCACTTCTAAAGGAAATGGACAGTGCTGTTGCTGATAGCAATGGAGAGAAAGGACATAAAGTTTTACAGTGTGAAAGCTCCATTCAAGAAATAATATCATAGACTTTGATGTTGCCACAGTACAAGGGCCTTTTGCTGCTAAAAAATGGAAAGACCAAAGTGAAGCACAAATATGAGGTGAACCAAAATATTTGTTTTATAGCAGGAGTTTGGTCTGTAATCTGTAAGAAATGCAGAGAAGGCTCCTATCTGTGACAGGGTTCAATTCCAATGCCTTTATCCTATTTAACATAAATAGCCTGATGCAGCAGAGTGGCAGTTTCTAAACTAGATCAGTATAGATAAAACTGTATTCTAATTGAATTACAGCATGGATTTGATCTGTATCTAGCTAATCAAAAGCCACACTATTTGTAACTGTTCATTTTTATGTTTACTTTTTTATAATTAAATTGGTCTTTAGTTAGCTGCTGTTCTTATATTTGTGGCTACTAATCAGATATATTACTCAGAGTGGGTGGGACACATTATTTCATTTGGTATAATGTACTTGGGGCCTGATCTTGCTTCCAGTGAAGTCAATGGCAAAACTCCCATTGACTTTGGTGTTGCCGGATCAAGCTCATAGTAAAGTGGTATGTTCTGTTTTGGCTGGTTCCTGAAGACAAAAGTGTTGAAGCAGATAAAGCTTTGCTATTGACTTAATTGCTAGCAGGATCAGGCCATAGGACTTTCAAATGGTAGAAGAGGGCCAGATAGTGCTATCACTATGTCATTGGGGATTTCTGCTAAAACAAACAAAAACCCTGAAGGCTTGATGTAGTCCATACATTTTACATGATACTCACATGTAAAACAGGAAAATGCTAACATTAAAAATACAGAAAGTCAACTTTAACAGAATGTTTGCAAGACAAAATATGCACTAATTTAAAACTTTATGTCAATGCTACCTAAAATCTTAATCTGTGTGGTAGTCAAAAAACCTCGTCTAAACTCTGAAAATCTGGAATCAGTGACAAATGTAAATATTGAAGCCTCAAAACTCATATAGAATTTAACGCTCCAGTGAATTTTGTGATATAAGGAACAACACATTGCAATAACATATTGCATACATTTCTAGAACTTATTTCTACCTCAATTTGTACACTACACTAGAAGTAACTGTATTAACTTTGCATTCCTAAAATACATTGTGCACCTATAATTGCTTCCAATCAACTAGCTGTTAGTTTTATAAAATTAAATGCTTAATATTGTTTTATTATAAATGTTGAGTATGTATGCTATTCAAGTTTAATTCAGCTCTAAATTTTAAATCTTCTAGGTTATTTGCTATAACAGACACATCATATAGGCTAATTTATCTCACAGTTAATTCAAATTAATTTATAAGAAAAATACATTATGTGGTCTCAAAAATTAAATCTTGAAATGTTTTCTGTACAGTGTTGAAAGGTGACTTTCACAGCAGGGGAAACTTGGAAAAGAACATTTTATATTAAAATAAAAAGATATATTCCCCATGACTATTATTAGCTAAAGGCCAAAATCTGCAATCCTGACTCAGGCCTTGAGCCAGACGTGACTCAGATGACTTCAGTAGGACTCATGCCTAAATGAGGATTGCAAAATGAGAATTTTAGTCTTTACAGATCACATTCCCTCTCTGCTTGATAATCCAACAAAACCATAATCTTGGGTTTATGAGAATCTCAGTCTGTTACTATAGAAGTAAATATAATATCACAATTTCAGCTGCATAACTTCACTTCCGAACTGAGTAGAAGGAGAAAGTAAATTGTGAAGGGAAATCTCTTCTTTAAACACACATCTTTGGTAAAGAAACAAAAGTGACAATGAAAATTTTTTTTTAAAAAAAAAGGTAAATGAAATATATTTAAAATCTCTCGAGTTAAAGTGATGATTATAAAGTTGTAAAACCACTGAAGGTGATGTAGCTAATCTAACAGATTATGATTTATTAATAGCATGACTGGTAAATTCAACCAACAAAAGGAAGTTCTGCATAAAAATCAGTGTCAGAATATGGTCCTGTGTTCTAAATTATTCCTGGGCATTTTTTGTGTGTTTTCAGATGGATTCTAGCTTATGAGGGTTAACATCCCAGACACCTCTTTTTTTCTAAGCATAATATCCATTTTTTTCTGTTGCACATTTCTCTTACACATTTAATAGTTGGGCTGTGTTGCATCTGAATCAGATTAGTTGCTACAGGCAGCTATTTTTAAAGGTCTCTTACTTGACTGGGGTATCCACTAAAATAATGTCCACATATATGATTCTTCCCTCCATGACAGAAAGCAAATAGATGTAATTTGTTAAAGATGTAATCACATAATTGGGACGTATTGGGATTTTTGCTGATATCTATAGATTACATTAATTTTAGAGTAACTCTAGCTCACATATTACAAATTTGAACATTGTCATTACTCATATCTGATCTCACAGACTGTTGAATACTGAAGAAAGGCAATATTACATACTTTAGTTTTATTTATTGGACATGATGTACATTCTACCCTTCACTTTCTTTATTATGCTGAAACATTATCCCCAATAGTATTTCAGGCTTTGGTATAATCATTAGACATGCGGCAGTCCACTTGTAGCTTAGGTATTATTCAATATATTCCCTCCATGCAGAGGACCAACACAGTACCAATGCACCTTTAAATGAGTCTTAAGCAGTGCATAGGCATTATGCTGGTCCTCATCTGGGTGAGTTTCATTCTATATGTAGTGAAGTACACACAGACTATCCAGT